AAAACGTATTTCAAGTACTAGAGACTTGTGCTTTGGAATGTACACACATTTTGACCATATGATTACGCCCTGAAAATTTCGTATCTTTATAAAAGAAGTTATTCACCAAGTAAATTCTCATACTATTGCCCACACTGCAGCGCATTCCAAGCGCAGTCGCTGCTTACTGCGCAGTTAGCAGAGCGCGGGCGCGTGAGTGCAGAATGATAAGAATATCAACTTGGAGGGTCCGGGGTATCTCCTAGTCGAGCAGTCTCGACTGGAGCCTTCTTACTTGTTTTGTAAGCTTCTTGCAAATGCAGTCAAAGTTTTTAATATTTTTTTTGCTGCTCGACTTTTGTTTTTGTTGTTGGCTCAAAGCACTCGAACAGCAAACTTCAACACTTTGGGTGAAAGGCAAATATATATGTACATGTCCACATATACATGTATATATACATGTATATATACATGTATATATGTATATGGGAGGACCAGAAAAAAAAAACAAAAGTAGCTCGCAAAACTTTGCTACTTAAAAGTGCAAAACGCAACGCAATGCTCGAGTGGGTGGCTGCATGAAGTACTTAGTGGGCGTGATGGAAACAGGGTAAGGGCGTGTTGTTTGGGGGTGGGAGGACGGCGAAAAAGCCGCCAGAGCAAAGTAACTGCGAACAAACCAATTAAGTTTATTACTTTTGCGTTTTTCAAGTGCCTTGCCTATGAATGTGAGCAGGAGTAACTCAGCTGAGTGTATGTGTATGTATAGGTATGCGTGAACATGATGCTACATTGTCTGTACATGTTAGGAATGCTAGTCGTGTCGTGTCGTGCTTAGCAGCGTGACACGACCATTAGGCAAATATAAATTTGAGTAAGAAAATATAAATTTAATCCTCTTTTAAACCTTCTTAGCTTTATCAATGTGATATAATGGCTAATACGAATATTAAGTATTCATTCAAAGACGCTGGCATTGTGCTGGTAATATGAGTTTCTGTGAACATATGAGAGCTCTCAAGCAAAAAGCAAAACTTAAATAACATTTAATTTTATACTTGATATAACCACAAGATAATTTTTAAATATTTGCGCATGAGCTTTCTTCTTATTAGTTCAGAGACTTGTACTCTCAGAAATAAAGAGAAATAAGGTCTTATTAAACTGAACACACATCATAAAGTTTTGACATTTTACGAGGGATACAGAGTTAGATAAAAATCATCAAATAATATTTTGTTATAATGTTTTAGTGTACAGAATTTCATCACTTACAATACCTCCCACATTTTCGGACTATTTTGTAAATAGAGCCAAAAACGTTGTCTTACTTTAATCAGCTGTTTGAGCCTGCAATATCTTTGCCGCGAGAGCAGGCCATCCTTATATGTGTGTCCGTAATGGCCAGGCAGTTAGTAAGATATGACCCCCTCTGCTCTCCTCTTCTACCATAAAGTTGTTTGCAAAAGTTTGACAAAGTGCTTCAAAAACAGCAGCGGCTGCCGCCTTTGTCACTCGTCGCTTGTAAGGCATTCAACAGATTTGTCAAAGAAATTAATAAACACCACGTCATGCTGGGAATCTCCCCTGCCACTGCCACTGCGCCCAACCTCCAACACCCAACCCCTACCTCTGCCACACACCAGGTGCCATTGCGAAGTTTTACAGCGCGAGGCAAAATCGTAGCATACATTTCGGGGCTGGGCGAAAAGGCGGGCAATTAATTTCAGTTGGTCATACCCTGTGAGTTATGTGCGGCTATTTAAGTTGACGTTTGCCGAGTTCACACGCAGCCAGCAATACGAGGCTGACTCCCATTCTGGTCGAGTGGCTTATAATTAAGATGCCACTCTCAACTAGTGCTGCACCCATTGCTCCCAGTCTCTCTCTCTCACTCTCTCTCGCTCTCTCTCTCTCTCTCTCTCTCTGTCTCTTGCTCTCTTTCTCATTCGCTACCTCAGTGCTCTGTCAAGTATTTTTTATGTGTCGCATTTGCCGGCAATTAAAGCGAATTGCAAAAGGCGACATTCATTGTTATTATTATTTCCATTAGAATTGTTATTATTATCATTATTATTATGAAGCCATTTTCATTTCTATAATTTTCATTATATAATATATATATATATATTTATATATATATATTTATATATATATTTTATATATATATATTTATTTGTCACTTGTTCTATCTCCTTCGCCTTCGTTGTAGCATCTCACGCACTCACTCGTATTTCTTTTTGCCTTTGTCAAAGTGATTTATCACTTCTAAGCGCCTGGCACTCATTAATTTTTGATTGGGCCAAAAAAGGCAAACGGCAAAAGATGCTCAGACCCAAATGGTATATTTCTTTCTCTTCCTTTTATTATTATTATTATCATTGTTGTTGTTGTTTCCGTCGCTGACGCTCGTGCTGTTATTTTCATTAAAACTTCATCAAATGCCAGAACCTAATGATGTGCGCAGTCAGATGGGCATACCCTGTGGCTTAGTCATATTAGGTATTTCCAACTGTAGACATATAATTACAATATGATTTCATTACATTTAGCATAGTGCGGATTAGCTGAATAATAGATTGCGCTTGAGTTTGGGAAATGAACACATATTATGTTTTAGATAAATATTATATACGGCTTTAAAAAGTAGATAATGAAAATTAGATGGGAAAATCCATGTGATGTAGATGTGAAATAATTGAATCTATATTATATCATTAAAAACTTTCTGAAAGATTTACTACAAGTTTAGCTTGGATATAAATGTTCCCGGTTTTAAGCACGGTATCCGCTAGTTATTCCCTTCACACAACGGGAAACTTGCATTAGGAAATGGAAAGCTTCAATGTCTGTTTAGCAACTGCTTCATTTAAACTGAACGATTGGCTTGACAAAACATTTGTCCCGTTCGATAACTTTATTTATCGAGCTCTATTGGCTCTATTAGCTTATTATTGTCTCACAATTGCCACCGGCCTGGCCTGCCACCGGCCATAATTCAATTTTGTCTGGGTGCATTTTCAGAGGAACTTCAAACCCAAAAACACAAGCACAGCACACAAACCGAAACTTTCCATAGATGACCGCAGAAATGTGAACAATTAATTATGGCGACGCCGGCCGAACAAATGGCTAAAAAATTGGCTACGAAATGGCAGACGACTGCGACGACGACAACCCCATGGTGGCAACTCTAAGCACTCGCGTTTCTGTCCCATTCATATGCGTTATGCGCCCCACCGCAATCGAACTATATGAGTCTGTGAGATCCAGATAGAGATGGATAGATGGAGAGGGCGGGAGGGAGATAGAGTGGGAGAGACTAGTTTTTCGTTTATATGTACATATATACATTTTTTTAGCGCCCCGGTCAGCCCGACTATACCGGTGCCGGTTGCAACTCTCGCACCGTTCAAACTATGGACGCCGTTTCCGCTGACAGTTATTTTGATTTATGTGATAATGTTGCGAGGAGCGGACCCACAGCGTGACCGCCGGAACGGCAAGTGCGTGCCCGGCTCCATAGGAAAATGGCAATAAATAGCACCGCACATACCACGCGGCCCTGACAACAAAGGGCTTCTCCAGTCGAGCCTCCCTAAAAAGCACTTAAAGTGCCCCAACAACAAATTGTCTGCGGCCCATAAAAAGGTGTTGCCATTGATAACCGTTCTTGTTCGTTCCAGGCCCACAGATTTCCTGCTCTCGCTCAGACTGAGGTTCAGGTTCAGGTCAGGTTTGGGTCATGACCAGCCCTTTGCACTGATAGCGCGCAAACGACTTATGCGAATGCGTATATATATCATCGAGTCTCTGAACAATGCCCAAGAGTCAATAGACAACATATTGAAAGATTCCCAAACTTCCGACAGAAAACAGATTGAAGATGTGAAATGACGCTGATCGACGAGAATAGAACTTGAACTAGATTACTTAACTCAATTTCACATTTGAAATTATAGAATTAAGAGAAAGGCTTGTTATCATGATCACATACAATTTTGGGTTCTGATAAAACACGGCAGTTACTGCTGAAGAACAATACTTTGTAGAACAAGAAAGAAAGCTCTAGTCGAGACTGCTCGACTACGAGATCCCCTGAAC